TGCTTTATAATGACTGTAGGAAAAATATAATGTGTAGCACGAGTGAAAAAGGCCTTTGCTGCACTCGAGATCATTCCGCACTCGCCTGCGGCTCGTGCGTAAACATTGCTCTCGTGTGCAGCAAAGTGCCACTTTCACCACTAGTTACACAAATAACTATTGATTAAATATTGTTGTTAACAATTTTCATTTGTGTTTAAAGTGATTTTCTTATGTTAAGTGTGTGATTCTAATGTTATGAGCTTAATCTGTACCAAATATTAGTGAGTAAAGTGGTGTATGGATTTCATAACCATTATTTTACTAGAGACCATTGCATTAATTTAACCACAATGGGCTCTGTTGCTAGTCTATTAAATAAATAACATTAGGTTTAACGAAACGAGTACCAAGGTTTGCTGCTACAAGGAAACCAATTAAGTGTGTTTTTAGTAAAATATTATTTGTTTAGTATAAAGTAAATAAATCTTCAAAGTTTTATCAAAATATATCCATAAACAAGGTAAATACAACTTTTTACCATATTCTCCATAAGAATAACATGGGGATTTTAAATTTCCATTTTTTTAAATTTTCTCCGTTAGGCCTACTAATAATTGTACAAAACCCCTGTGATATACTTAACTATTTGTTTTTTAAGCTCTTTAAAAAGGTCTAGAGAGAAATTGGGTAATTTTACGTTTTAAGGGTCAAAAATGAAAAAAAAAATTTTAAAAGTATAAAATAAAAATTATAAATAAAAAACTTTTCAAATGCCACGTTTTTAAACGCACTTTTTTTCGCCCGTAGTGCATCACTGTTATCAGTATATTTTAAATTCAACCATTATATTCTTTTCCAGCATGAAATATTCTATAATTTGATACCAAACCAGATTTTTTAACAATAGTTTAAAATTTTACACTTTTTTTAAATGGCGACCAAAAAACCGTATTTTGCGTAACAGTACAAATGTATACTTTTGGTATGTTTTTTATAAGTGTATTACCTACCATTTCTAACTGAAATAATTTCTGTTGCAATTAGTTCCACCTCAAACCCTATTTCTACTGCACTATATGGGCCTATTGGCTGTATGGTCCAGCGATTGCTTCACACGGTGAGTAGAAACAGAAAGTGACACATTGGAAAAGCGAGTTTAGCATTATCCGTAAACCTCTGTTACAATCATCCACTGCAGTTGTGATTTTTTACTTTACACTTTACACAACCATCATTGAAGCGCACCGTCAATGAGTGGAAACCTCGTTTGTAAGCTATTGACGACGATCATTAATAGTGTCCCAGTCCTATACAACACTGATTCAAGGTCTTCTTTCTGGTTATCAAAACTCAAGAACAATTTTATACACAAAGAATTTCTGGTTCCTGACCTGGATGATGCCTAGTTATTTAAATTCATTTACGGTTACACTATAATATTGCACTTGCGATTAATTAAATCCGTTATGTAAGAAAAACGTATTTAATCTCACAACGTGATCGGAAATGGATGCAGTATTTGTAAACAACATTTGTAAAAATATCAGTGGCAGATAGAAAAAAATAGTCTTGATCCGAACAACTGTTCGTTATTTCATAGATGATTATGTGATCAAAATTGAACGAAAATTTGACAAAAATCGCACAAAACTGCATTTTTGAACGTCCGTAATTTTATTTATAAAGTAGTGAGGCCATATTTTAATGGCTAAAGACACCCTCGCCAATCCAGTGAATACATTAAAATTACTTGGATCTTGATAGGTACTCTCGTTTTCATGGGGAAGATAGTGTAAAATGCTATCTTGAGTGTTACAGACAGACGGAAAGATAGACAGACAGACAGACAGACATACATAGAGATAAGACTTGTTTCTGCTTTTTTAATGTATAAAACGTAAAAATAAATTAAAAATATAAAATTCTGAGCAATGTACAAACAAAACTCTAATTTTATTTATATAGATATATAGCAATTCTTCTACTGTTATATAGCATTATCTCTGACAACAGAAAGACTCTAATGCTGGACTGACTTTCGGGCAAGGTTGGGCAGAAGGTATCACTAAAAACAAATAATTGTGATTGTAAAATATTTACGAAAAATTGGAGCACTTGGTGTCTTAGCAAATGATATGATGAATTATTTTAAGACATTATTTTAACTGGTTTTATGATATATTCACTAACCATGAGTTGTGGAGAAGGGAAGCCTAGATGGCGACAACATGGCCGATACCCACGCCATGAACCGGATGCGCTGTTGGGGAAGACGATGGAGGTACAATGTCCAGACGTGTGATGGGAAAAGAAGAGAATGTCCAATCTAAACACTTTTCTTGATGTCGAAACGACTGGTTAGTTTATATGAGCTCAAGAAAATGTTATTGTAGGTAATGTTCACTCGCGTTCACGGAAGCCGCACAAGAAGTTCACGTTGAATAGGAGCTATCACTTTTCAGGGAGATAATACACAGTTAAAAATACAATTTAAAAAACATAGAATACAATTATGCGTGACACGAAATAAAGAATATGGGGGCCTAAGTAGGCTACAAACAATACACTGAAAAAAAATAGAGACTTGATGAACGGGAGTGTTACATCAAAGGATCTTTTCCGAAAGACTGGCGCTTGTCCAGTGCTCACATGACCATCTCGACCAATAAATTTATTGCTATATTTTAGTTCACCAATGAAGGAATACTTTGTCCCCTCTAAGCAAGTAATGTTATAGAATAACGGGACCTCTCTCTATCCCTGTGCCTCCCATGTGATCGCTGCTCAGTAAAAATGTTTCTTCGAACTCTTCTGATATTAACGTCTGCATAAAACCTAGTACATGTTTACCTATGCAAACCACAAAATCACTAGGGACAGATAAACCACCCCGGTTAATAGTTTGAAAATAAACATCATCTGTGTTAATTGTGCTTACAACCAGTGAAATACAACTTTTACATTGAATGTTAATCGTTTATTGAAGCTAATATAGCCACACACATACAGTAGGCCTGATTTGTCAAAATTAACTGTTCAGTATTTCGTATAAGTATTTGATGTAATATTATTTGTCAGGTAACTCAGTACTGTTTTATTTCAATTTTCTATCGTTATCCCTTCGATAACGATAGAACATTGAAATAAAACAGTATTAGTACTTCATTTCATATAGTAAGCCGTAATTTCAACAGCATTTCTGGTCATCTTCGGTCAAAGCAAATATAAATTGTTATGATAAAATTTGATGACATTAACAAAGATTTTAAATAAAATGTTGATATGGACTTTGTTATGCTTAATGCGTAGCAAATTCCCTAATTTTAAGTTCTGTATTTTTGCGTGTATGTCTGTTGGTAACGCAGTAATGTCCTTATTTCTCAGTGTTTCACGGAAAGGACAAGAGCACCTTGATAATGAAAATGTCAACCCGAATAAAGTGTTAAATTGTGGGGTTGAGGTAGTACCTTAAATACTTTAAACATTGTGGAAAGTAACTTTCAATTATAGGCCTAACTTAGGGGTATGTATGCCTCATAAATCAATAAAGCATTTTTTAGTTTAATCATTGGATTTAACATTTGGACCAACACGATTCGGGTGACATTTAATTGCGAAGCATTTGTTTTGGCTTGAAACTGTCAGATACTGTATTTGCGAAGGTTTATATAGAATAGTTTTGCCAGCATATTTGAAAATAAGCAAACCAACTGCTGTTCTTAATATAAGAAGGTTTCAAATCAACGATAAGATTTCCGTGCGTAGAACGGCACACAGCTAGTTCAAACTATAAATGAAAACTATAAAACAATCAAATCGTTTTTATTAAATAATCTTAGAGTTTCAAATACTCCATATTAACTATTGTTGGACATTTGTATTGTTTACATTAAAATACATGGTTCTGTTCTATTGAAATCTCACGTGATTATTATTAACACCTAATATTCATTTAAATTAATTCATCGCTAATGTATGCACCAATAAAAATTCAAATGAGCTTATAATATAAATCGCAATTACAAATAGCTTAAACTTTCTTCTACAGCATTAAAAAAGGTTTGCTCGAAAGATAAAACTAATGGATCACTGCTACAAACACGTAATAATTCACTTGTTCTGTGGGTGATAAATAATAAATGGTTTTTAAACTGTAACAAAGAACTAACCACGCACTAAAATAAGACTAACAGTTACCCGGTGCGCGTTGCGCGGTTGCGCGTAGTTAATGACGTATTTGTTTAATAATCACGTCATGGTACATACCGTTTCTGTTCTAATATCCGTGACCATAGTTATAATAATTATATTTGCTGTTTCCTGATGTGTAGTATATTTGACTATTAATACAATAGTCAATGCTAGTATTTAAGTGAACAGCTGATCTTATGTGTTTCTGTGACAAGTACTGCTTCCATTAGGATTACATTCCACTTTGAGACCCCGTTGGGTGGGTTCATGGGAGACGTTTTTTTACACAATATAGATGTTGGCACTCACCGATATAGTCTTTATCACAATGCAACATTTGAAAATTATTGCTTCAACCGTCTAGAAGGAGTTTGCTTATGACAAAATGCTTAAACCTTCGCTCGCTCCGCTGAGATAGATTAGAACGTAACCCGTATTTGTGTTTTAGGTTGTCCACAAGACTGGAATGTGCGTAATATTGTTGTGCGTGTTTGGGACAGAGGCCTTCACTTTCTGACCTCATTGCTGAGCCTAGGGATTGTATATACAAGCCATGTTCTTTCATAATAATTGGAGTTGTGGTATATCTTCTTTAACTTAAATGGCAACTTAGAATGCAAGGGAAGGATTTATATCTTATATCAAATAGCTTCCAACCAGAAAATAACATGTTTCAATCTACGTTTAAACTAAGGAATATGCCATACCATCTTTGTTTAGCTTAAATATGCATTTAAAATTATAAAACTACATGTTGATCCAATTAATTTACTAGAAAGCTTTTACACATTACGATTTAGAGTGGACAAAAACCAATACTCACTCACCTTATCTTTCAAGTCAAACCAAAGATAATTCTTGAATTGTATGTTGTATCTTACTCTGAAATCTTCAGTAATTATATTTTTGGGAACAATTAGGTACAATCCGTTTTTAACATGAAATCTTGCAAACTCCCTCGCAGCGTCAACCTAAAAGAAAACCAAAACATGTTTGTAGTTGGATGAGTGCAATCCTGGGCTTTCGGGTTTAAAATTACAAAAATCTATATTTTTATTTACAGTGGAAATAGTAAATATAAACTAGTTGAACCTTCTAACGAGTAGGCAGCCAGAGAATCTCAACAATCTAGGATGGGAGTCACGGCGACCCTCGCTACAAAACTAAGGAGTTGACGTCATTATAACGTAGTCATCTAAGTAAATTAGCAACAAAAGCAGGAATTTTACCCCTTTCCATATAACTAGGGTTTAGGCAACTAAATATTGTACCGCCCGGATTTTTACCCCCAGAATTTTACCCCCGGAACTTTAACCCCGGTGTTTTGCCCCTGGGCTATATAAATTGGCCTAGAATGGATTAGCGAGAATATGTTAATAATAAGAATGTTTAAATGAAATAAAATTAAAATAAGATATTTTAATATAAACGTGCATAACTACTATCAAATGCTTATTTTACAATTTCAGACAGCTGGGACCCTGTCTCGCTGTACCGCCGTCTAGTTGTACCTACTTCTACCTCATAGACCTAGGGACAACTAGTCGTAGGTACATCTAGACGTAGGTACAACTAGACGTGATGCCACCGACAAGTAGTGTCACCTAGCTCGTACGGATGCGAACAGTTTTCCATACGACTAGTGGTCCCTACGTCTAGTTGTATCCACGTCTATTTTGTACCGGTGACTAGTTGTACCTACGCGTATTTGGCGTCCTTACACTATCTATTTATTACACTATCTATTACTTGGCGTCCTAGTTGTATCTATCCATCAATTCGCTTCCCTGTTTAATTGATTACTGCACGAGTACCTTTTAGTTATACCCTTAATTAAATTATAAACTGCAGTATTCCGAGTCAATTGAGTGGGATTGTCAAATATTGTTCACCGCACTACGATGTCTTAGCTGTTTTTCAGACGTTAATTGTAGGCTGAAAGCTACGCATTGCTGTTCAGGGTCGAAATTCCAGCTATCGTCGTAATTAGGGATTTACGGCCCTAGAACCGAAAATCAGACGTTCGCTTATCTCCGTGACTAATACCCTACAAAAACACTTCAATATAATCATTTAGTTGTTTTTGTAAACTCTAAAAGTAACCCGTTAAACTGGTGACAAATTGATGGGGGTGGGGGTACAACTAGCCGTAGAAACAACTAGTCGCAGGTACAACATAGACGCAGACGTATGAGGTACAAGTAGACGGTGGCGTGCCAGAAAAGTTTTACCTGCAGATTATTAAGATGTACAACTAGATGTAGAGACAACTAAACGTAGGTACAACCAGACGTCGCACAATCGTCAAGTTGTACCTGCAGTTTTGGACGAGGTACAACTAGACACCTGTCGCCAAAATGCAGCCGGTACAACTAGACGCCACGCGCCGCTCCGGTACAAGTAGCAGCGACCCAGACAGCTGAGCCAAACAAAATCTAATTTCACAGTTAGCACAACTACGTGCTAGTTTAGATTTATTTGTTCTAGATTGTGTGATTGACTATGGAGCTAAGTACCACCTTTGCTGTATCAACTTAGGGAGACAATCTTTGTTTTTAATGAGAATTATATTCCACGAAACAGTAGGAAAACTTAGGTTTGTACATGTTTTGATGATTTTGATGTTTTGTTTACAAACGTAATTTGCTTACAACATGTAATATAAACAGCGGTAAATAATAGTCAACTGATTAAACGTCTTTCTATAAAAACACCTTGTACGAAATTAATTATTCTCGTCAAATTCTATATCTGGACAAGGGGTAAAGGTCCGGGGGTAAAATTCCGGCCCGTACACTCTAGGTTTTATAATTTAATTGGTTCTCATTAAATTAACAACTGTGAAAAAATACGTATAATTCCACCTTTAATTTATTTAACTCAGTACGTGCAACTCAAAAGTTTGCGACCGGGATTTTGCCCCTAGGCTGTGATGCCAGTTTCCCTCAGGGGTAGAAAATTCCACTGCTCCTTCTGAAACCATCACCACTGTGGTAAACTGAGTGAAACTGTGGCAAACTTTGAGAGCCTCAAGAAAAAGTCCAGGAGGGGGTGGGCATCATTTAGGATTGGCAAGCAAACAATGCATAACATTTAAATGTATCTGCAAAATGTTCCAAAGTGTCCAAGAATTTTATCACTTTTGATTGAATTGGGTGCAACGTGTTAAAGATTCAGCTATACATATCCGTCACGTCACGTCACGGCACGTCCAGTAGTGGCAGTTTTGGTAGGATGGTATTGTACAGTATACATATACAGGGTGATTTTTTAAAAACTTGCATCTTTATTTATGTAAAAACCGCAATAGATAGAAATATGCAGTTTGCGGGAATCATCTATTGACGTAGGGGGCCCAATTGTTTTGAATTCTACGTTACATTCACATTCCCCCCCTTTCCCCCCTGCCCCCAACTTATTTTTTTTAATAGCAAGGTACCCCTTGTGACATATCAAATAATAGAGTATAATTTAAGGTACATACCTTCACGTCCACAGTTCATAAATGAATGGTCAAACCCACTACATGTTTCGCCTATACATAGGCATTGTCAAGTGGTCCTTCAAGAACGTTTCGTCCATTGTAGACTCGTCAAAAAAACATTTAAATAAATATACAAAACACGATACATTGTACGAAATATTTAACACTTAGTAGGCCTACTATTTACCGGTCGCGGTACGGAAGCAGACTGGCTGGAATTATGTAACCCCGACCCCTTCTCCGTTATCAGTCATACTCATCACTGTAGTATGACTTAGTAGTAACATAACACTTAGTAGGCCTACTAAGTGTTAAATGTTTCGTACAATGTATCGTGTTTTGTGTATTTATTTAAATGTTTTTTGACGAGTCTACAATGGACGAAACGTTCTTAAAGGACCACTTGACAATGCCTATGTATAGGCGAAACATGTAGTGGGTTTGACCATTCATTTATGAACTGTGGACGTGAAGGTATGTACCCTAAATTATAGTCTAATCAACAGTTCAGGGGCTACACAATGAATTTGAAATAAAAGAGCATGAAAAAAGAAAATGTTTGATGAAAAAAATTGAAAATCTGTTCATAAATTTGCGAGATATTTCCCCCTCCCCCTCCCCGGAACTTAATTTTTTTTAATAGCAAGGTACCCCTTGTGATATATCAAATGAAAGAGCATGAAAAAATAAAATGTTTGGTGGAATTTATTTTTCATTTGATATGTCACAAGGGTGGGTACCTTGCTATTAAAAAACAAGATATGGGTAGGGGAAAAGGGGGGGGATTATCTCACAAATTCATGAGCCGATTTTAATTTTTTTTCACCAAAAATTTTCTTTTTTCATACTCTTTCATTTGATATGTCACAAGGGGTACCTTTCTATTAAACAAAATTAAGTTCCGGGGGAGGAGGGGGAGGAATATCTCACAAATTTATGAACCGATTTTCAATTTTTTTTCATTAAACATTTTCTTTTTTCATGCTGTTTCATTTGATATGTCACAAGGGGTACCTTGCTTTTTAAAAAGATTAAGTTGGGGGCAGGGGGGAAAGGGGGGAATGTGAATGTATCGTTGAATTCAACAAAATTGTGCCCCCTACGTCAATAGATGATTCCCGCCAGCTGTATATTTCTATCTATTGCGGTTTTTACATAAATAAAGATGCAAGTTCTAAAAAAAAACACCCTGTATATATATTATATATTTATTTATTTATATATATTTATATTTGTATATATGTTTATATTTATATTTATTTGTATATATATTTATTTATATATATGTGTGTGTGTGTGTGGGTGTGCGTGTGTGCGTGTGTGTGTGTGTGTATCCGTCACGTCACGTCACGTCACATCCCGATGCAAAAAAGCGCACGCTATATGCCATTCCCGCAACTGGCTCAGTTTGAATACATTTTGAATACGCCTATAGCCTATGTATAACGTATAAGAAACACAACAGTGATAAATCGAAATACAAAAAAAAAACAAATACTAAGACAAAAAATATATTATATGACTCTTAACCAATAATAGTGTTAATAAGATCATTTACACACTTAGTATGCAAGTGTGAAGCAAATTAGACATGTTCACCCAGACATTCTGTTGATGCCTCTTCTAGTTGTTCCCAGGGCGAATCGGACGTTACCGAGGAGCTATTCCGTTGCGTCGCGTCAAGTCACGTCACGTCACGTCACGTTACGACACGGTATGCTCCCAGAGCATACAAAAATTTTCCGGACGTGACGTGACGGAAATGTATAGCCGCTTACATTTGATTACACAGGGAGCATACCCGTCTAAAATGGACGCGACGTGACATGACGTGACGGATATATAGCTTTACCTATATCTTCTTCTAATATATAAAATTCTCGTGTCACAGTGTTTGTCTGCAAACTCCTCCGGAACGACTTCACCGATCGTTATGAAATTTGGTGTGTAAATTCTGTAGGTATGCGAATCGGACGTAAACTATTTCCCGTTTCGAAATTCTTAAAAGGGCTCCGCCCCAGTGGCTCTGGAGTTTCCCATGTTAACCTTATGAGAAATGGAATTAATGAATCTTAACAGCTGTTTCAATTAAACAAGTTGGTTCTGTTCTATGATGTTCAATAGCATTAAAGTTACAAGGATTACCAACAGGGTGCAGCACTATTATTTCTTTTACATTTATGACAACAGCTAATTTGCAACCAAAAGGTGAGTGAGCGTAGCGAACGAACTTCAACCTGGAGGCGAGTTAGCGTAGCGAACGAGCTAACCTGAAGGCAAGTGAGCGCAGCGAACGAGCTCCAACCTAAAGGTGAGTGAGCGTAGCGAACGAGCTCCAACCCAAAGGTGAGTGAGCGTAGCGAACGAACTTCAACCAGGACGTGATTGAGCGATGCGAACGAGATCATCTTGAAAATTAAACGTAACGGTACTTTCTTTCCATCGGTCTGTCTTAGGGGAAACCTATAACCTAGGCGATACGAAGTT